ATTTATTTTTTAAATTAAATTTATTTGTTTAAATTCAAATTAGTCAACATATAGTGTAATATTGGTTTCAGGAGTAGAATTTAGCGATTCATCACTTACGTACAACACCCAGTGCTCATCCCAACAAGTGCCCTCCTTAATGGCCTCACCCATTTCACCCACCCCCCACCTCCCCTCCAGCAACCCTCAGTTTGTTGTCTGTATCTAAGAGTCTCTTATGGTTTGCTTCCCTCTCTGTTTTTATCTTATTTTTCCTTCCCTTCTCCTGTGTTCATCTGCTGTGTTTCTTAAATTCTACATATGAGTGAAAGCATATAGTTGTCTTTCTCTGATTGACTTATTTCGCTTAGCATAATACACTCTAGTTCCATCTACGGTTGTCACAAATGGCAAGGTTTCATTCTTTTTCATCGCCAAATAGCATTCCATTGTATATATACACCACATCTTCTTTATCCATTCATCAGTTGATAAACATTTGGGCGCTTTCCATAATTTGGCTATTGCTGATAGTGCTGCTACAAACATTGGGGTGCAAGTGCCTCTTTGAATCCGCATTTTTGGATCCTTTGGATAAATACCTGGTAGTACATCTGTTCTGATCTTTATTATTTTCGTCCTTCTACTAACTTTGAGCTCTTTTCTTTTTTTCCCTAATTCCTTTAGGTATAAGGTTTAGTGTTTGAGATCTTTTTCTTTTTTTTGTCTCTTGGGGTAGACCTGTATTACTATAAACTTCCTTCTTAGAACTGCTTTTGCTGTGTCCCTAAGATTTTGGGTCAGGGGTGCCTGGCTGGCTCGGTGGGCGGGTCATGTGACTCTTGATCTTGATCTTGAAATCTGGAAGATTTCAATCTTCTTAAATGCACTGAGAACTTGCGTTGTGGCCTCTAACACAGAACTATCCGGAGACTGCTCTGTGTGCACTTGGAAAGAATGTGTATTCTGATGTTTTGGGAAGAAATGTTCTGAATATACCTGTTAAGTCCACAGGGTCTCACGTGTCATTCAAAGCCACTGTTCCATTACTGATTTTTGGTCTGGGTGATCTATCCAACGATGTAAGTGGGGTGTTAAAGCCCCCTACTATCGAGTATTACTGCCAATCTTCCCCTTTATGTCTGTTAATATTTGCTTCATATATTCAGGTGCTTCTATGTTGGGTGCATATGTATTTGCCGTTGTTATATCCTCTTACTGGATTGATCCCTTCATCATTATATAATGGCAGTCCTTATTTTAAAGTTTATCCAGTCTAAGTATCACTACCTCAGCTTTTGGTTTGCTGGTTTATTTACGTTTGCTTGAATATCTTTGTCCATCCCTTCATGTTCAATCTGCACGTGTCTTCATATTTTATTTTATTTTATTCCATTCCATTCTATTTTATTTTATTTTATTTTATTTTGGGGAGGGAAGAGAGAAGAGGACAGAAGATCTGAAGTGGGCTGCATACTGACAAGTTGATAGCAGCCAGCCTGATGTGGGGCTTGAACTCACGAACCACAAGATCATGACTTGAGCCGAAGTCAGTCACTCAACCGACTGAGCCACCCAGATGCCCCCGATCTGCATGTGTCTTTAGGTCTGAAGTGAGTCTCTTACAGGGAGCAGATAGATGCGTCTTGGTTTTTAAATCCATTCAGTCACCCTATGTCTTTTGATTGGAGCATTTATGTTTAAAGTAATTATTGATAGATATGCCCTATTGATTTTCAAAGCCAGACATTCTGGGGGCTTGCCTTCCTGGCGCAGGTCCCCAGATGGGTGTTGCATGATGTGGAGCCTGAACGCCCTGCTGCTCAGGGAGAACCTTTGTACTGGTGACATCCCTCCAGCCTGTGGGTCACCGCAATGGGGGTTTTGGTTCCTGACCTGACTGTGTTTTGCTGCTGTTACCCTCCTTGGTGTGGCTTTATTTCCATGTCTTTACCTGTGGAAGAGCTGTTCGGCTAGTCTTCGGGTCGCTCTCAGAGAGAGTTGCTCTAATGTAGTTGCAGCTTTGGTGTCTTCATGGGGGGAGGTAAGTTCAGGATGTTCCTACCCTACCATCTACCCCTGGCTTCTTCTAGCTATCATCTCCCATATTTCTTGTGCAAAGGTTTCCCTGTCTATGTGGTTTCTGTGAGAGTGCTCATGCTTATACAAGATGGTGCCTCTCCTGGACAGAGATCCAAAGGTGGGCATATGACTCAAACTGGACTAATTGGTACATTTCCAAACAATTTGCAGTTAGATCCAAAAGAGAGTCAACTGATTGATCTTTGGGTGCTTGGATCATTAACCATGGTAAGATTTGGACTTGGCGGCCATATTTCCTGTCCTGCGGACTAAGAAGGCAGAGAAAGCCAGTTTGTGGTGAAAAAGAAGAAAGGGGGAGACCCAAAGAGTATCAGAGACTGAGGGGCCCTGATCGTGTGCACTAAAGTCCCCTGTTTCAGTTCATTCCAGAAGCCCAGCTGTATTTTTGTCCTCAAGTTCCAAGACACATCCAAGCATCCTTATCATAAATTCATCTTTTCTGCTTAAGTTAGCCTGAGTGAGTTCCTCTTTGCAATTCAAAGAATCCTGTCTTAGCACCTCATTACCCCCATTTCCAAAGGCCACTTGTCTTATTAACCCCATTATTTCTCTATACTTCCTTCTTTCCTTTTTTCCTCCTCTTTCCATCATCCCTTTACCTCCAGAAAATGGAAACATGTCCTAGCCTCACCACACACACACACACGCACACACACACACACACACACACACACACACACACACACTTTCTGGCATTAGATTCAATGAAAAACAAAGAAGGGAGACAGGAAGACAAGACGTTTCTTACTTTGACAAGTGTTCTCATTGGAATTCTCGAATTGTGTGTCCCCAGAGAGGAGTTTGTACCCAGGATTACAGTGGCAGTGGAAACTTCCTTCGACATTCTGGCATGCAGCGTTAAGTCCACAATATATGCTAATGGGTGGTTTACATTCATCAATGTCTGGAACACAAAAGAGGAATTTAGACATTCATTTGACAAAGATTTATGGAGCATCTAATACATGCCAGAGGCTATACCTGTTCCACCAGGGTCTGTCCTGGCTTTCCAGGACAACTCAGTCAAGGTAATGGGTTGTCTTTGTTCTTCCCTTTCCTCGTTGACTTTGGTTGGGTTCTCTGAGAAGCAGGCATTGAGATAAGAATTCATGGGCAAGTACTTCATGTGGGAGGTGATCTCAGAAAACACTGGAAGGGAGGTGGTGAAATGAGACAGGGAAAGGAAAGCAGAAAATAAAGAGGTATGTTTCCATTGTGGGCGATAGGGACTCAATTCCCCTGGGAACCTCTGGGAGGTGGTGTAGAGCACACACTTCAGAGGCACTTTCTAAGGGGTGGGGGCTGGGATATTTATCCGCGAAATCTTTTTCTCTTTTAAGTTTTTATTTAAATTGTAGTTAGTTAACATACAGCGTAATATTGGTTTCAGGAGTAGAATTTGGTGATTCGTCACTTCCACACATCACCCAGTGCTCATCGCAACGTTACTCAGTGCACATCCCTCCTTAATGCCCATCACCCATCTAGCTTACCCCCTCCCACCTCCCTCCATCAACCTTCGGTTTATTCTCTATAGCTAAGAATCTCTTATGGTTTGCCTCCCTCTCTCTCTCTTTTCCCCTTCCCCTATGTTCATCTGTTTTGCTTCTTAAATTCCACATATGAACAAAATCATGGTATCTATCTCTCTCTGACTTATTTTGTTTAGCACAATACACGCCAGTTTCATCCACATCATTGCAAGTGGCAAGATTTCCTTCTTTTTTATGGCGGAGTAACAGTCCACTGTATAGATATACCACATCTTCTTTATCCCCTCATCAAGTGATGGACGCTTGGGCTCTTTCCATGCTGTGGCTATGGTTGATAATGCTTTTGTCTGCCCAATCTTACCATTTATCGGGAAAGCAGTGCTTGCAGGGATAGCTTACTCTTTGATGCTCACACCTGTCCCGAGCATGAGCTAAGGGGTCTCCAGTAGCCAGAGAGAGCCTTAGACTTGGCAAAAGAGTGGCCAAGGCCGAGGGCATCTAAAGTGGAATACCGACCATGTCTGCTGTTATGAATGTTTGTAGGTCTCCTCAATTCAATATGTTGAAATCCTAACTCCCGGTGTGGCTGTGTTTGGAAATGGGGTGTCTAAGGATGGAACAGGCTAAATGCGATCATGAGAATGGGGCCCCGATCTGATAGGATTAGTGTCTGTAGAAGAAGAGACATGAGGGCTTCCTTCCCTGCCCGACCACTGTGTGTGTGCAGTGAGGAAAGGCCATATGAAGAGACAGCAAGGAGACAGACACCTTCAAGCCAGGAAGAGAGGTTTTCCCCAGAAAAGACAACTGCCAGAACCTCGACCGTGGGCTTCCCAGCCTCCAGAACGGCGAGAAAATAAACTTCTGTTGTTTAAGCCGCCCGGTCCGTGGTGTTTTGTTACAGCAACCCGGGCACAGTCATACACCTGCTAGATTAACCGACTGAGGGAGAATGTCTTGATTAAGTCAACATGTCTCCAGTCCTGAGGGTCCCCGTAGGCCCTTTCCAAATGTCACATGGGTGGTGAGGATGTCCCCATCCGATCTGGCACACATGAAATGGGGAATTTTCAGACTGTGACATAGCGTCGCAGATGAGCTTTGCTGCCTGCTCCATAGCCATTCTCTTTTGAGGAAGCCAGATGTGACAGTCTCGTTCCCATCTCGCAGGCACTCTGTCCCCCAGCCTCCCTGTGTCAGCTTTCAGGTCGCACCCCTAAGCCAATGGAAAGTAAGGATGTTCTCCCTGGGGAGCCCGCGAGGAACCTCAGTGAGCGTGAGACAGAAGTGGCCACAGAGGAATGAGCCTCAGATGGTGCTGCGTTCCCTCTGCAGCCCCGCAAGCTTGAAGACAGTTCTGTGATCCGTGGGAGGGTCGCTGGTGGATCACGCGGATAAGAGGATGGAACACTCCCCACCTGGGCAGGATAGAACCTTCTCGCGAAAGTGAACAGCGGAGAGAGCGCCCGGCGCGAAGCAAGCACAGGAGAGAGTGCCCCAAATAAAGGACAGGTGGCAAGTGTGAAACCAGGAAGAAGAGAAACAGCCTGTGGGGAAAGGCAGGGCGGGAGAAGCAGGGGCGAGCAGGGAACCCTGAGAAAATGTGAACTTCACGGGGATGTGGCAGGGCAGCTAAGGAGGGGGGTGAAACAACAGCGTTCTCCTGATCTCACTTCTTTCCTGGGGGAGGGGAAGCAAGGGTGAAATGAAGCAGCTTTTTTTTTTTTTTTT